GTTCTGTAGATATCTATTAAGTCCATTTGAGTCATAACACCTGTTAGATCCCTTATTTCTCTGTTAAGTTTCTGTCTAGCAGTTCTGTCCATTGGTGAAAGTGGGGTGTTGAAGTCTCTCACTATTAATGTGTGGGGTTTGATGTGTGATTTAAACTTTAGCAATATTTCTTTTACATATGTGAGTGTCCTTGTATTTGGGACATAAATGTTCATAATGGAGACTTCATCTTGGTTTATTTTTCCTGTGATGAATATGTAATGTCCTTCCCGATCTCGTTTGATTGATTTTAGCTTGAAATCTATTTTGTTACATATTGAGATAGCTACACCAGCTTGCTTCTTAAGTCCAACAGTTTGGAAAGTCTCTTCCTAGCCTTTTACTCTGAGGTAGTGTCTGTCTTTGATGTTGAGGTGTGTTTCTTGTATGCAGCAGAAGGATGGATCCTGATTTCTTATCCATTCTGTTAGCCTGTGTCTTTTTATAGGTGAATTGAGTCCATTGATATTAAGAAATATTAATGACCAGTGATTGTTAATTCCTGTTATCTTTTGGTGGTAGTGTGTGTGTGTTTCTCTTCTTTGGGAATTGCTGCAGTGGGGTTATCTATTGCCTGTGTTTTCATGGGTGCATCTGACTTCCTTAGGTTGAAGTTTTTCTTCTAGTGCTTTCTGTAGGGCTAGATTTGTAGATAGATATTGTTTAAATCTGGTTTTATCTTGGAATGTCTTGTTTATTCTGTCTATGGTGATTGAAAGTTTTGCTTTTTATAGTAGTCTGGGATGGCATCTGTGGTCTCTTAGTGTCTGCATTGCATTTGTCCAGGACCTTCTGGCTTTCAAAAGTCTCCATTGAGAAGTCGGGTGTTATTTTGATGGGTCTGCCTTTATAGGTCACTTGGCCTTTTTCCTTTGCTTCTTTTAATAATATTTCTTTATTCTGTATGTTTAGTGATTTAATTATTATGTGGCAAGGGGACTTATTTTGAGGGGTCTAGTCTATTTGGTGCTCTATAAGCTTCTTGTATCTTCATAGGTATTTCCTTCTTTAGGTTGGGAAAGTTTTCTTCTATGATTTTTTTGAATATATTTTCTGTGGCTTTGAGTTGGTATTCTTCTTCTATCCCTATTATTCTTAGTTGGCCTTTTTATGATGTCCCAGATTTTTCTTTTGTGTTATGACTTTTTTGGCTTTGGTGTTTTCTTTGACTGACAAACCTATTTCCTCTATTGTATCTTCTATGCTAGTGATTCTCTCTTCCATCTCTTGTATTCTGTTGGTTATGCTTGCATTTGTAGTTCCTGTTTGTTTATTCAGATTTTCTATTTCCAGCATTCCCTCTGTTTGTGTCTTCTTCATTGTTTCTATTTCAATTTTCAGGTCTTGAACTGTTTCCTTCACATGTTTAATTGCTTTTTCATGGTTTTCTTGGATTTCTTTAAGGAATTTATTGATTTCTTCCAAATTTTGTTTGTCTTTTCCTCAATTTCTTTAAGGGAATTTTTCATTTCCTTTTTTTTTTTTTTTTTTCCCGAGACAGGGTTTCTCTGTGTAGCTTTGCGCCTTTCCTGGAACTCACTTGGTAGCCCAGGCTGGCCTCAAACTCACAGAGATCCACCGGCCTCTGCCTCCCAAGTGCTGGGATTAAAGGCATATGCCACCACCGCCCGGCTTTCATTTCCTCTTTAAAGGCCTTTATCATCTTCATAAGGTTATTTTTAAGGTTGCTTTCTTCTGCTTCTTCTATGTTGTGATGTTCAGGTCTTGCTGTTATAGAACTGCTAGGTTCTGGTGATGCCATAGTGCTCTTTATGTTATTATATGTATTTTTGCACTGGTCTACCCATCTCTTTTTCTAATAGGTGCAAGAGGTGCCTGTGTCTGAGCGAGCTGCTCTTGGTCCAATCTGTGCTTGCTTTATCTGTGTCTCAGGGGGCCACTCTGGGTCCAATCTTAGCCCTTTGTCTAATTGGAGCTGGTGGATTCTGTGTCTCAGAAAGCCATGCTTGGTCCCAAGAGAGTTCTTGGTCCAATTAGAGCTGGCAGATTCTGTGTCTGAGGAAGCCACTGGGATCACACAGGGATGGGTAGGTTTGGGGTAGGGTATGGGTCTTGTAGATTGCAGGGTCCAATAGGGGGTTTTGGTGGGGGAGCCTCCCCACAGGAGTCTTCTCTACTGACCAGTTACTGGGGCAGCGATGGGTAGGGGTTCCTGGGGACTGGTTGTGTCCTGTTATTTTTTGTTGGTGGTGGTGATTTTGTGTGTGTGTGTGTGTGTGTGTGTGTGTGTGTGTGTTTTCCTTCAATGGGAATTCAATGGGAATTGCTGCTGTGGGGTTATCTATTGTCTGTGTTGTTGTGGGTACAGCTAACTTCCTTGGGTTGGAGTTTTCCTTCTAGTACTTTCTACAGGGCTGGATTTGTGGATAGATATTGTTTACGTTTGACTTTTTCATGAAATATTTTGTTTTCTTCATGTACAATGATTGAAAGTTTTGCTGGGTATGGTAGTCTGAGCTGGCATTCATGTTCTTTTAGAGTCTGTTAAACATCTGTCCAGCCCCTTCCTAGCTTTAAGAGTCCCCATTGAAAAGTCACGTGTAATTCTGATAGGTCTGCCTTTATATGTTACTTGGCCTTTTTCCTTTGCAGCTTTTAATACTCCTTCTTTATATTCTGTACTTTCAGTATTTTGATTATTATGTGGTGAGGGGACATTTTTTTTCTGGTCCAATCTATTTCATGTTCTGTAATCTTCTTGTACCTTTATAAGCATGTCCTTTTTTAGGTTGGGCAAATTTTCTTCTATGATTTTGTTCAATATATTTTCTGGGCCTTTGAGCTGGGATTCTTCTCCTTCTATTCCTATTATTCTTAGGATTGTTTTTTTTTTTCATAGTGTCCCAGATTTCCTGGATGTTTTGTGTTAGGAATTTTTTAGATTTAACATTTTCTTTGACCAATGAATCTATTTCCTCTATCATATTTTTAATACCTGAGATTCTCTCTTCCATCTCTTGTATTCTGTTGGTGCTGCTTGCATCTGTAGTTCCTGTTTGCTTACTCAGAGTTTGCATTTCCAGAATTCCCTGTTTGTGTTTTATTGCTTCTATTTTCATTTCTAGGTGTTGAACCATTTCCTTCACCTGTTTGTTTTTTCTTGGCTTTCTTAAAGAGATTCATTTATTTCCTCCATTTTTTTTGTGTCTTTTCCTCAATTTCTTTAAGGGATTATCTTCCTCATTTCCTCTTTAAGGATCTCTATCACCTTCATAAAGTTATTTTATGATTGTTTTCTTGTGTTTCAGCCACATTGGAATGCTTTGGTCTTGCTGTTGTAGGGTAGATGGTTTCTGGTGGTGATATATTGCCCTTTCCGTTATTGACACTGGCATTTAGGCAGCCTAATTTAGGGGTGGTTATAGGTCTAGCTGTTGATTCCTGCGTTTGTCTTTGTTGGATTGATGTTTTGTTCCTTGGTTGTTTCCTCTCTGGTCTTCCAGCCTTGGGCCCCTATAACTACTGGCATGGCCTCTGGTAAAGCCTAAGTCTTCTTTCAAAGTTGTAGGCAGAAATATGGAGCCCAGGGTATGGGGTGGAGTCTGGAGTTGTTTGGTGGTCTTTAAAGAGTGTTAGCTGGTGGTAGGTGGTGATTTTCTTAGGGTCCCTAGGACCAGCCTAGACTATGGGCTAGAGTATGATGCCCAGAGGAGGGGGAGCTGTTGAGTGGGCTTTAAGGAGTATTGGTGGACAGTGGGTAGTGTCCCACTTGGGATCACTTACGATCCCTAGGACCAGTTAGGCCTCCAGTAAAGCTGCAGGGGCTATGATAACCTTTTTTTTCTAATACCTGGGATTGACTGGGTGAAAGAGGCAATTTTTATAGCAGTTGGGCTATAATAACCTTTTTTCTAATACCTGGGATTGACTGGGTAAAAGAGGCAATCTTTATAGCAGTTGTTTATAATCCTTCTAAAAAGGGCCTAGAGAAATTCCATTCTATCCTGACTGCATTGTCTTTCAGTGATCCTTTCTGGCTGGGAGAAGTTTCTCTACTCTGTTCAAAGAATGGTGGGTTTTGAATTTTCCAATAATATAGGTCACTGGCTATTGCTTGTTCAGTAACTACTTGCATTGTGAAAACACGTATACATGTCCATCTGTTTCCATACCACACACATGACCACACTCGGTAGATATACCTTGCATACATGTCTATATATGCTTCTACTAAACACCAGCATTACAAGACACTATCTTGCAAGGTGATAAGACATCATCAATAAAATGCTCAATGTTACCAATTATTGAATTTTCTTCTAGACAAATCTTTTCAAAATGATGAACTTGAATCCGAACAACCTCTCCCCAGAAAATCAGACACTTGAAGGTATTATTCAGATAGGCACTAACAGGAGGTAAAATTTTCAGACACCACCGTAACAATATACTTTTAGAATCCAGTAAAATATCAAATTCAAGTGATTGTAGAAACATAAATGTAGAAAAATCGATGTAAATTTATGCTCTTGAAAAAAATAATATTCCCTTGTTACTTTAAAATTATGGGGCTGGAGAGACTGTTCATCAGTTAAAAGCAAGTTTGGTGCACTTTGTTGAGAGGACACATGTTCAGTCTCACATATGGTGACTCACATGGAGTCTTTGACTCCAGTTCCAGGGGGAATCTGGTGCCCTCTTGTGGCCCACTCCGGAACCAAGCACACAGAAAATGCATTTACATACATGCAGATGCCATTTAATGGGGTTTAGGGATTGTTTCTTATATAGCTTCTTTACTTGAATACTTTTTTCAACTTTGTCAATTCCTCATGTGCTAGGGACAGTGTATGTACTTGGGGCTAAAGTGTCAACAAAAACAAGGTGACAGTCTTGGCTTCTTGCTTACTCTGAATGGTACTAATTTTGTATTTAGTATAGTAGCATCAGTTAGACCACACAACTTGAATGTTAACATTATTACACTATTCATTCAGAGGTCAATTTCAATTATTATTTATATTTTAATCAGGATTACAGTATCCATATCTGTAAATATTTGGAAGCAATAGTCTCCACAGATTTCTTATCCACAAATTAGACCTTTTAGAACTCTGGCATACCCCCCCCCCCCATTTACTCAAATGACCAAGCTTAATTTCAATAATGTGTTACCCTGACACCTAAATGTTTCTGGACATGTTGCAACATGCTAGAGAATCTGCAATGTGTTCTTACTCAAAATGTTTCATCTGAACTTAACTTCCCTTGGATAGAAGATACAGTGGCTAAGGGCTGGGAATGTAGTTTGATGATTGAGCATGTTCCTACTACCCACAAGTCCCTGAGTTTAATCAAAACTAAAATTTAATAAAGGACAGAGCAAGGGCAAATCCCTATCTGTAGTGTATTCTCCTTAGAATACATACATTTTGCAAAAAAGGCAGCTGGAAAGTCAATGACAAATTTCTCAATGTTGTAAAATCCTGGATCACTTCTGTGGTAGGGATGACATTCCATCTTGGCTGATGTAGTAAGGGATAAAAAATCATATCTGCAAATTTTTTATAAAGGGTCTCTATACAGCCAAAGTTGGACTTGAAGTTACTATGTAGCTAGATTTGCCTCCAACTCTTGATCCTTCTACCTCAGCTTTCCCATTATTGAGTTTCAGGCATGCACTATTTCACCTGACTCTAAATGTATTCTTAACAGTACAGCCCCAAATACCCACAAATACAGAAAAATAGGATTGATATAGGAAATTGTTAACAATTTTGAATCTAGGTGAGGATACTAAAGTATGTTGTTGACTATAAATGGTTCCAATTTGGTTATTTTCATTAATTTTTTATGGGAAGCTCACCAGAGAAGACCACTCAGACACAATCTATAGCCAACCAAAAGTCCTTATTGCAGTTGGCTGGGACTATACTCAGGTATTCAGGACTCAAGTGTAGCGTCAAGCATTTAGAGCAAAAACCACATCCTATTATCCTTCTTAGCAGCTGAAGTGGGAGTTTTTGTCCAAGCAGGCTAATTAACAGAAGTCAAGATAAATTAGCAGGGGTATCTTGACCTCAGGATCTGAGAACAGATTTGGGTAATTTCCCACAATATTCTCCATCAAAGATGGCAAATTCTTGTCCTGTCACAAATGTATAGTTTATCTTAACATCTGGGCAGAGAGCATAAATTACAGAATATTATCCTTTCAAATATTTATGGGTTTAACCCCTTTAAAAAGTACTTGTTCATAAACAGCTGTATTTTGAACATCTCCACACAAATATGTAAGTTATGAATTCTCAATGAAAATCCTTTCATTCACCAGATTTTATCCAGAATGATGGTATTTAAAATTTAATAGTGGATGAATGCATGTTTTTGAAACTATCAGCAATACAATTTTGCCTTTCATGAGTTATAGTAATGCCAATAAAAGGGCGAGCAATGTAAAAGCTATTTTACAGAACATGGGAATGAGCCAAATATTCCTTCAAGAATTTTATTATTTATTATAACCCTTTTCTCCACAACTTTGGCTGGTACTGTGCTTGCCATTAACAAATTATGCATAAACACTCAGTCTAATATGACAGGAGCCATAGGACAGGAATGGTGACAAGGAAAGTGCCTGAGATAAACCTAGTTCCAATAACTGTTCTCCCTAAACTGACTGTCCTGGGTAAGTAGTGTTTGAGGAATTATGTTTATACAATTAACAAGATGAGAGTAAATCAAGAACATGATGCTGACCCTATTACTTTTGACATTCACACATTCTCAACAGAGTATCACCTATGAACAGACTTCCCCCATTCTCATTCACAAAGATATCATTGACAAGAGTATATGAATACTCTGATGTTGACCAATTCTAGGGCAAATTAAACTTCTTTCCACATTCTTTTAAGCCACAGTCTTACCAATGTGAGTTCTCTGATGTTCAGTAAAATTTCCATACAAAAGATTGTCTACCTTCCTTACATGCATAGGATTCCTGATGATTATGTATTTTCTGATGCTGTGTAAGTTTACCCTTTACAATAAAGACTTTCCCACATTCTTTACATCCATAGGCTTTTTATTAACATGAACTTTAGCATGCCAAACCAAGCTAAAGGTCTTTTCACATTCTTAACATTGGTATGGTTTCTCACCCATGTGAATTCTCTGATGTGCTTTAAAGTATTCACCACGAGTAAAGTATTTCCCACATTCTTTACATTCATAAGGATTCTTGCCAGTATGAATTCTAAAATGTCCAAGAAATTGGTAGTGATATCGAAAGGCTTCCCCACATTCCGAACATTGAAAGGGCTTCTCACCAGTGTGGATTCTCTGATGAATTCGAAGTCCTCTACCACGAACAAAGCCTTTTCCACATTCTCTACATTGATAGGGTTTCACATCAGTATGAATTCTCTGATGTTGAGTAAGTTCGGACTGAATTCGGAAGGCCTTCCCACATTCTTTACATTGAAAAGGCTTCTCACCAGTGTGGGTTCTTTCATGAATTCTAAGGCCTGTACCACGAACAAAGCCTTTTCCACATACCTTGCATTGAAAGGGTTTCACATCAGTATGAATTTTCTGATGTTGAGTAAGTTGGTAATGAAGTCTGAAAGCTGATCCACACTGTTGACATTCAAATGATTTCTCTCCAGTATGAATGCTCTGGTGCCGAGTGAGCTGTGCCAGAACAGTGAAGGCCTTTCCACATTCCTTACACTGAAAGGGTCTCTCACCAGAATGAATTTTCTGATGTTGTGTGAGGTTTGAACGACGATTAAAGGCTTTCCCACACTCATTACATTCAAATGGTTTCACACCAACATGAATAATCCTATGTTGAACAAGGGTGGAGACACGCTTGAAGGACTTCCCACATTCCTTGCATTCAAACAATTTTCGATCTGTATGAATTATTTTATGTCTCTTAAGATGGGCACGAAGATGAAAGGCCTCTCCACACTCCTTACATTCAAAAGATCTCTCACCACTATGAAATTTCTTGTGGCGAATGAGATGTATATTAAGTCTAAAGACTTTCCCACATTCCTTACAATCAAAGGGCTTCCTTCCAGTGTGAATACTCTGATGCTCAGTAAAATTTGAACGTCGACGAAAGAATTTCCCACATTCCTTGCACTGATATGGTTTTTCATCAGTATGAATTCTTTGATGTTGAGTAAGTAGGGACTGAAGTCTGAAGGCTGACCCACAGAGTTTACAATTGAAAGGTTTCACATTAGTGTGAATACTCTGATGCACAGTAAAATTTGAACGTCGACGAAAGAATTTCCCACATTCTTTGCACTGATATGGTTTCACATCAGTATGAATACTCTGATGTTCAGTAAGGTGGTACTTACGTCTGAAAGCTGATCCACACAGCTTACACTTGAAAGGTTTCTCATCAGTGTGAGTTTTCTTATGCTCAGAAAGGTATACCTGAAGCCTAAAAGCCGTCTCACATATATTACACCCAAAGGGTTTCTCATCTGAATGAATACTCCGATGTTGCACAAAGTATGAGCCACTACTGAGTACCCTGCCACACTGCTTACATTGAAATGATTTTTCTCCAGTATGACTGTTCTGGGTCTGAATGATGAGCTGTGCTAGTACACTGAGGGCCTTTCCACATTCCTTACACTGAAAGGGTCTCTCACCAGAATGAATTTTTTGATGTTCCATGAAGTTTGAGTGATGATTAAAGGCTTTTCCACATTCATCATATTCATATGGTTTCACACCAGAATGAATAATCCTGTGTTGAACAAGACTGGAGACATCCTTGAAAGACTCACCACATTCCTTGCATTCCAAAGGTAACTCACCATTGTGAGATTTCCGACGTCTTGTAAGCTGTTGGTGGAGTCTCAAGGCCTTCACACCTTCGTTACATTCATAGGCTTTCTCTCCAATATGAATAGTCTGATGCTGAATAAGAGTTGAACTACAATCAAAGTACTTCCCACACTCTTTACATTCATGTGCTTTTTCTATATTGTGAGTAAGAATCTGGTTGGTATATGTAGGCATTTTTTCCTTGTTAGTAATCTTTTGATCATCATTTCCTTCTTGACAACTCTGTAGTCCCTTGAATGTACTATAGTTGAGTCCATTACTAAAACTGGCACTCTGGAGGTCAAAAGTTTTACTTATATGCTTTATGCTCTCTTTGGGTAGACTTATATTATGATTGTCTGGAGATATTTTTTGAGGTTCATAATCTGACTCCAAATCTGAAAGAAAAGGAGAAAGCAAGACTACTTTATTTTCCTGTGACACAAACAGACAAAATCCATTCAACCAATGGCCCAACTCTAAAGTATTTTTTGAGCTGAACAGAAGCAAGGAGAGCAGCAATAACAAAAGTTAATGTGAAACAGTACTCTTTTGTGGGAGCCCGTTCTCGGGTTCCTCGTGGCTTTACCCAGCAGGTCCGCATAGAGGATGATTAGGACCTCGGGCCTGAGTGCAGGTGTCTGAGATGGTCTGCACTTGGCTGTGCTGGGGGAGGAGGTCTTTTGCTCCACCCCTTGGCGTCTCTATAAAAACCCTGGGGCAGAGACAGTCGGGGCCCGTTGGAATAGGTTCCAGGCCCTCTCGAGGCTATCCTTTATTTTCTATCTGTTTATCTCCGCGATATTCTCCGCAATAAATCCTTCTATCTAATATTTCCTGCTGCTCGCACTCAAGAAAACTCTGGGGAACTGTGGGGGTGGTGGGTAAATGCCCCACAGAATGGCGCCATGAACAGGGACTAAAGAAAAAAGAAAAAAAAAAAGGAGGGGACTAAAGACAAATGAACAGGGACTAAAGACAAAGTAATAGGGACTAAAGATAAAGGAAAATAATAGTTTTATTACAGAGTTTTTGGCGAAAGTGCTGAGTTCAGCCCTGCCAGTGGATAAGGCATGCCGGTGTTATGGAAAATATATATTTTTTATATATATTGAGAGGCAGGGGTTTTATCCTCGAGAGAAAAGGAAAGCGGACTGGAAGGATGTCTGATGCTGCAGCGAAATTCTCTTCTGTCAAAATTTTCTATCTTGTATCGCTTTCTCAATTTCTATCTGAAAAATAAGTATAAGGCATAGGGTAGTAATATAGTGTAGGAAAAACTTAGAAGTGTAAGATTGTGTAGGAAAAAATAAGTAAGGCAACTAGACGGAAAAACTCTACAATTTTCTAACTTTGGGGGCTATGAATGCAAACTGGGAAAAAAATCTTTCTTTGGGCTTTATGGGTAGTAAAAAAAGCTCTTCTTTGAGCTTTTGGGGAAGAAAAAGTTTCCTATGGAAGCTTCTTGACCTGGGGACAGCTGAAATGCTGAATCCAAGCGGCAGGAGAAAGTGATTTCTCCCTGAGGCAAATATGGGGGTGTAAAAAGCCAAAGTTTAAAGTTGGGAAATTTTGGGAAAAGTTGGTCTTTCTCTTTTGGGAAGAAAAAAAATCTTTCTCAAACTATAAAGCTTTTCTTGGAAAACTTGGGGGGGAAAAATCTCTCTAAAAAGCCTTAATCTTTCTCAAACTAAAAGCTCTCAAACTTAAAAACTAAAGTCTTTAACTTTCTCAGAAGGACAAAAATTAGAATCACCTGAAGATTAGTATGGGGACCACCTGTGATTAGCTCAAAGGGAAAACAACAAACCTCTTAAGACGGCAAAACCTCTCTAAGTTCTCTTTCAAGCTTTAAAAATCCTCCCTGCAATGCAGGAGGCAGGGACAAGTTCCTAAAAACCTCTTCTAAGCTCTGTCTCTTCAAGCTGGTCAGAGTACCCTGAGGGAAATGCTTGGGAGAGTGTGGGTAAAGAGCTACAGAGAGCCCAAAAGGGCAGGAAACTTTACCTGAGAAAAGCAAAAAAGCCAAGCTTTTCAGTTACAGCCGAGCTGAGGCATCAAGGGTTTTGTTTGAGCATTTCAGAATGAAAAGGTGCTCCTAATCGTCCTAATGCAAAGATCCCCTGAAGCGTGCAAACTGTTAGCATTGTATCCTCGCTTCTGACCAAAAACCCAGAGGTGACTGGCCAGCGCCTCTGAGTTGGAGTGCATTTCTGGGATACTAGGGTTCCTGCAGTTGTAAACTTCCTGGAGCACAGAGCTGAGGCAGGAAGGTGCAGGACCCAGGGGAAGATTGCTAATGAACAACCAAAACTAAAGCCAGTGGGAACAGCACAGTTGCCTGCTTTCCTACAAGTCCTGGCTTGATAGGTCCACAGCTGCAAAAAGAAATCTGAGAAAAAGCTTTCCTATCAGAGTAAGGACCTTTCTGGGAAAGCAGTAAAGCTGAACTGTGTCTGAAGCAGTTGTGCTGCCGAGTCAGAACGCTGTCTGGGGAAAGAGCCCAGCCAGGGCAGAACAGAACTATCCAGGAGTAAAGTTTTCTTTTCTGTCAGAGAAAGCAGCTCTTTGAGAAAAGCTTTGTTTCAACTGACTCCGTGAGATGAGGGGGAGTGTAGCCCTAAGGGGTGATTGCCTCTGGCATAAGCTCTGTCCTTGAGCACCCAGACAAGCAAATGCAACCCACTGGGGGACTGGGCCAGGTGAAGGCCTGATGAGGCAAAACACCTGTCCTAATGGGAGTTTAGAAATGGCAAAAACCTCCCTTGTTAGATTCTCAGTCTGTATGCAAACCACACAGACCCGAAAACAAATGGACAAAAAGCCCCTACCTTCAGGAGCAGGGAAAGCCACCACTGTAGTGTCGGAAACTGTTTCTGGGGTAGAGGGGATAAACTGAGACCAAACTGGGAACTGTCTGGGAAAAAGACTCCGAAGAAACAGAAGGGACATATTCCTCCCCAGAAAATGCATGACCTGTGAAAAGCTGCTAGAATCTGAGGCAGATTGGGGGGGGGGGGGAGCGCCCCTACCTCCAAAGGCAGCTAGCAGAGGTACAGAGCCGCAGACAGATACCTGAAGCTCTGCATCTGCAGAGGGGGGAAGGAACAAGCAAAATGAGAATAGGTCTGTGGGAGAAAACCTCTCCAAAGGAGCATGGAAAAGCTCTGTTGTAAATGTTTGTTTTTCACTGACTGACTAAGACAAACACAAGCCCCTAGGAAAGTTGCTATCAGAAATGCCAGCCTCAATGTGCGCTAATGAGGCAGGTGCGGTTCTGATTTGGGGGCCCGTGTCACCTGTTGAAGCCAGCTGAGGAGAGACCAGAACCCTCCCAATGTGCCATAGTTGAAGATGTAAAATGCTTGTTCAAATCTCCCATTGCAAAAGCAAAAAACTTTGTTCAAACCTCCCGGGCAAGAATTTGTAAGCAAGTCTGGTAAAAGAGAACCAGTTGACTCTCAGACCCAAAAAGAACTATGGGAAATGACTGATACAAGGGAAATGATATAAAGGACTGATTTAAGGGACTGATAATATTATGGACTGATATAAGGGAAATGCATTCTGGGAAAGGTAGTTTTTCCGTTAAAGATGGCGACATTGCCCTGAAACACTTTTGTCAGCTCGAAAATACGTTCATGGTAAACTTTAAAATACAGCTTTTAAAAGAATAAGGAGGAAAATCGTCTAAGAGTTTAAGTATCAGTTCCAATGAAAAATTGAAAGGATACGGAACTAGGTGCTTCGCGGTTTCGGCTCCGTTGGTAAAATGCCTTATTTACCCTAATAGCTGTGCAAAGTTTTTACAGTAGTTGGAAGACAAAAAGCTACCTTTAAGAGCAAACAAGCCACTTTAAAATCCTTAAGAAAGCAGTTTATACACTGAATGTTGTCTTAGATATGAAGAAACTTATGTGAAATTAAAAAAGTTCTTTGCCTTTTGAACAAACTGCCTGCAGTGAGTAATTCCTTTGCAAATCTAATAAGGAGACAAGGAAACAGGCATTCGAAAAAGAAATGACTGCTTTATAGATGGGAAACAAACTTCAGAAAAATCTGTCTTAAAAAAAAGCTTCACCTGAAAGTTCCCTATAAGAAATCAATGCTAAATATTACAGCTGCTAATAATAACATCAGGAGTTAAAGCTAATGAAGTGAAAATACTAAATACAGTTCGGAGCTGTGCAGCTTTTGGCTTTACTAGCTCCTTTAGAAAAATACTTTATATCACCTAATAGCTGTGCAGTATTTGGCGAAGAGCTTTACAGCAGCTAAATATGGTAATTTCGCCCTCAGCATGAAGTGAAGTTTTTCGGTAGAACAAACCAAGAGTACTGCTGTAATAGAAACATTTGTCTGAACTGAAGCACTTAGGGGAGCTATTATGAATTTGGGTGAAGGGACAGCCTCTAGTTAAAAACCATCTACCGCTGACAGTGCATCTCTGCCGGTCCAGAACGGCTGAGAGAACTGGCAACTTTGGAGTGTGGCGTCATCCTGGGAAGGTTATAGTCCCCTAGCAACAACTATCACAATTCTATAACAACACTCACTAAATTCCAGTTTTGTATAGCAAAGCTGACTATAAACTCCAAACTTTAGAAATGATGTACGTACTTCCGGTCTAGTTAAGAGAATCTTTCTAATAGAGATAGTGATAATTAAGAGTAAGAAATAGAAAAGGATGAAAATAAGATATGTGAGTTTGAAGATTCTGTCTTGTTAGATCTGTGTTAAGAAATCTTTAGGTGTTTGCGAAGTTAAACGTATGCTAATAGTAGCCCTATATAAGTTTGTAAAATAGATCTATAGTTCCTTTAATATAAGCTTGCAAGAAGTATCTAAGGTAGTCTTAAGACATGTAGTAATAAGCTTGTAAGAAGTAAAGATGCTAGTTGTATATGTAAGTTTAAATAAGAAATAAGATGGAATGAATATAAGTATATAAGTAATAAGCTAGAGTTTCCTAAAGGAGTATAAATAAGTAGATGTTATGTGAGTTTGTAAAAAAGTGTAAATGTTGAATGTGAGTCTAAATGCTTTGCAAAGCAAAAAATGTTATATGTGAGTTTGTGAAAAAGTGTAAATGTTAAGTGTGAGTCTATTAATGTATATGGTGAAAGAACCTGAGACACAGAAGGTAGTGTCCTAGCAGACTGCAAAGTAGGCAGTCTGAGCGGTTTTCAAAAGTTCTAGAAGCCGCTAAGAAGCAAAGAAGGGCGGACTCCAGAGCCAGCACAACAAGGCATCTGCAGCTGAGATCCGTGGAAAATCGACGCAACACAGAAAAACCTGAGCTAACATCAAAAACGGTGCTGTTTAGAATACTACTGTACCTAAAAAGGTCTCTGGCTTAAGAATAAGTTCAGAGACGCTTGTTTGAACAAAAATTGTT